GAGATAAGTCAAGGCGTCTTTGTTTTACACTATGACCAATATTAAAATCCTTTTCACAAATCCTGCAATGGGTGTGAAGCTACCCTAGAATGGCACTGTATTGTTTTATTCATGTATTCATCTTTGAAAAGTTTTTTCCATTCTTTTCCTTTTCTATTCCATCTGTGAAATCATTTGAGAAACATTTTTGCTGTAACATATGCATCAACTAGAATAAATAGGACGAATTTTACTGCCAAATTCCTATAGAGTGGTTCTGTATCTCACATTATTTTTAACGCAGAATATGTTAGCAAAGACAAACAATTAGAAAACCTGTCTGTTATGTCCTAAGCCAGACAGCTGCTATAAATAGAAACAGAGGTCTTCTTGGAAATAGGGCAGCTGCTATAAATAGAACATAACACTAGGAAAGTCACCACTAGTCTACAGACAAGTGTACATTTATGTCATAGTTACTCTGAAGTAATCTTTTCTAGAATACGTTTTGTGCGATTAGTGGGATGTTAATAAAAATGAGGAAACAAATTATTAATTTTTTTGGGAGGAGGATATACCAAAAAAGCATAATCCAAGTACAGTTACGCATAAGGTGTAATTTCTGGAAAAAAGCGTAATGATTACGCCAAAAGCATAATGGTTGGCATGTATGGGTTTCAACACATATTGTGTACCTCGGAAAAAAATGTATATCATTACATCACTAACTTTTGCATGTGAAAGTGGATATATTCACGTGCTACTGTTGATTCACAACACAAGATTTCCTTTTCTCAAACATTAGATTTCATTCATGAAGATGGACAAAATGTAAGTTGTCAATTTCCTTGTGACATATTCCACTGAATAATCTAACAGCATTTTTTTTACACTGGTTTTTTATTTAATCTGTTATCTTTCTATCTTACTCCAAAGTTTTGCTTATATTTTCAAAGCACAACTCTAACTCAATGAGGACAAGTAACCACATACAGATGGATTTGATTTACCTTGACTTATAAGAGAGTCAAAAGAAATCTGCCTTTTGCCATCTTAAAATAAGTGGCATGTGGGGGGTAGTGAGGGAAATGATAATCAAGACTTCTTGTAAATAAGTATATATGGCAAACTGAGTTTTGGTGAACTTTGAGAGATTTCAGTTGTCATTACTTTCTTTTGTGTGCAAAGTTGTGAATGTTCATTAGCATGTGAGTTTTCATGGAAACCATCTGAGATGACAAATGTCAGCTTTGATGTTGAAACATAATGGGATGGGACACAATATATAGCTACCATCAGGTTTAACACATTCATCCTTAGTAGTAACTCTTTGTGGCATGTTGTGGTCACTTTGTTCCAACAGCGGTGACATCAAGATATTTTTTTTAAAATCCATCTTGTCAAAGCCTACTAGCAAGAATTCTACATAGAATGGTGCACTAGCCTTCTACCATGGATGTGTCTGTGTTGTGTCACTGTCATTTATCATTGATTAAAATATGTAAGGTCTATCAAAGAGTAAAGAACTGAATACAAAAATTATCTCAAGTAACATAAAAATTCAATATTTATTTCCCACAATTCTAGCAACAATGAAAAGAATCAAACTTTATAGAAACAATTTTCCAGAATGCAAAAATGCCAGTACAGTAGTCCTCCTCTTATACGGCCACCCCTTCTGCACCGGGAAAGTGGCCTTATAAGGCGGGTGGCCTTTCCAGAGGGGGACTAGATTTTTTGTGAGAAGTATATGTTCGTAGTAAGAAAGCTTCATTTTTCAAAGCATTTAATATCTTCGTTTAAAAGCAACATTAAATATTGAATGGTTCTTGTGCTATAATAGTTGACTTATTTCAACTGAATATGCATTAATAGTTCTTATTCTTGGCGTAAGCATGATATGCGAGCGGGTGTTGTCATGCACATTGCAGAAACATTCAAAAACGTCATTTGAATCTTGGTACATACGCAATTCTCTTTCCATTTGCTCCATTTTCCCACTACTGCTAAATAACTTATCGGTTACGATGTTATTTATTTGAGTCTTTTCAATATAAATTTACTTTATTCGAGTCTTTTCTACCTAAATTTGTTTGACCAGTAACCTTCCCCACCTCACCCGATATCGTAGACTATAATAACCAACGTTTTCTGAAATAATCATCTTCGTTTACGTGATGACATGTTACGGTTTGGTAATGAGTTATTCTGATGTTGCTAACTGTATGCAATTTAATTATGCAGACGACACATTTGTTGAGAGGACGAAATGCTTTCTTCGTAAAGAAGCAACAAGTTGTGTTGTCATGTGATTTTTCGGTCTTTGTCTAGTATCCTGTTACTATTTTTAGCCAATGCTGACCGTGTGATCTTGACATTACGTCCAGTTATAATCATCAATGTTGCAACTACAAGACTGATAAAACAATTTTTATTCTGCATTTAAACAAGATGCAGTATATTTTTAAAGGCAGTGATTGTCACGTGATTCATTAGTCGCAGTCTGGCACCCTATTGTTTTTATAATTTTTTTTTTTACACTAAGTGCGAAAAACAGCTTGGTTATGTATGCCGATTTGATCTGAACAATAGCACATCACGGCCGTTAGGATTTATAAACTTTACAATTGTTGTGTAATAGCCATTAATTATGTAAATTCAACATTTTGCAAAGGTAAGCCATAAAGGCTATCAAACCATTTTCAGCGCAGACTTTTGTATTGTACATCAATATTGCCACTTCTCTGATGTTACTATTATTAATAAGTGTAATCTTAACAATTATCAGTGGATAAACCAGACATATTATGATAACACGCAGTAAGGATATACAGATTACCTTTATGTATGGATTAAAATTTGAGTCTTTCTTGGCTTTATGGAATAAATGTGGCTTCTCGTGAGGTGTAAAGGAGGTATATTAACCTTAGTGGTACATGTAGAACACTTTTTTGAAGAACGAAAACCTGACATCGGGAAACAGAAATCGGATTACTTAACACAATTAGAAAAAAATTGTTCTAGATACATATTACAAAATAAAATTCGGCCGCTTGTGAGGGGTAAATTTTATGTTTTTGCAAAAATATGCTGGCTGCTGGTCACGTTAGCCAGGTGGCCTTTCGTAAGGGGTAATTTTGAACACAAATTCGTCAGTGCCTTCAGATTCTGGCCTTAAGGAGCAGGTGGCCGCTGGTGACAGGGACCGTTCAAGAGGGGGACTACTGAACTGGGTTCAAATCTGACGTCTGGATTTCTGGCTTACACTCAAGAACTAAACTAAATAGGTAAACTTAAGTACATAGCATACTGAAGTTTAATCTGTGCAGAAACTAAAACAAAATTGATATCTACTCTAAAGTAGTGGACAAGAGGTCAACACCTTGGACCCCTCTCCCCCAAAAGAGTCCCTAAAATGGACTGATGCTCAAATGTCCAAAATGAAATTCCAGGAATTCAAGATAAGACCAATTCTTCCTTCTAACTGCTGAGTGTTAAAACAATCTCTGATATACTTCTGCTATAAAAATATATTTTCAAATTAGCTACTGTGGCGAACATACTGATTGTTAGATTGGCACCATTTTTATTTTGGATCAAGTAGATAGCTTTCACCAAAACCCCTTGTTAATATGAACACCCATTCATAAGAAGTAGTGACAACACTGTCAAGTCATACACTGTGGCGTCCATATTGTATTTAAGATCGACAACATTTTTATTCAACACCAACCAATTACCTTAAGAAGTCTTATGGTGAAAACTGCATGTTAATGGTCATCCAATTGGGAGAAGCAGCAATAACTATTTTCAAGATGGACATACAGACAGTCAGTTCACATCAATTTCATTCAGGTCTATTCCATTTAAACATACATGCTACGCAGGAAAGGCAGTTTTTAAAAAATATATGACAGGGTACTTTCCTTTCACAGAGTTATTAAAATGATAAGAAATTTCTAAATTGATTGAGTACCCCACTTTACAAGTGACTTCCATGGGTCTATCATATGTTTTACTGGAACAGTCCTTAAGATCAACTAGACACCGTAAAAACTCGGATGAAAATCATGTGACAGAATTATTATTTATTTAAGGAGTAGCAATAACATAATTTTCCAGGTTCTGCATATCATATCAGCACCATTTTCATTTTGGACCAACTAGTCCTAACAAGAAGTCTACTGGTGAAAACCCCATGCCAATATATCTATATTGTGGAGTAGAGATAACAGTTTTCAAGATGGCTGCCATAGTTGCCATATTGGACATCAGATAGGAACCACTTCCCTTCAGGACCAATATGACATCATAAGAAGACATCTGGCAAAAGTAGTGTTGATATTACCAGACATCAAGGAGAAGTAGTAATAACAAGATTTTTAAGATGGCAACTGGGGTGGCCATACTGGATGATTGTGTGATGAACTTTTCTTGGCTACCTCCCGGACTTGTGCTAATAAATGAAGATGATGGACAACAATCCAGCACATAAGTTCTCCTGGTCTATGACCTTGTGGAGATAAACAAAATGGTTATGCAAATTTAAAAACAAATATGTTTCCCAATGCAGACCAAAATGACCATGTCCAAATAAATGAAAAGACAGTAAAATTATACAAATCACTAAAATGACAAGAATATGTCAGGTCTTCTACATGTGAAAAAAAAACATGTCTATCAAATTTCATTAGCCTACTTTAATTGGATTTTGCTTAGTCAAGCTAACAAGGATTTTCTAATAATGCCAATCTCCAAAAAGTTCAAGGTTGTATAAAATATGGAACAAGAGTGTGTGTGTGTGTGTGATTTGGATTTTTAACAGTCATATTGCTACAATGTCTGCAGTGTGGTAGTTTATAGTAATGTTTAGCACTGGAGCATCATGCCACAGACATGTAGCATGATGTCCCACCCAGTCACATTATCCTGACACCAGTCCTACCAGTCCTAGCATTAACCTCTTAATCCTGAGTGCCAAGCAAAGTATCTATTAGTACCAGTTTTGTAAGCCTTTGGTATGACTCAGCTGGGGATTGAACCCATGACCTCCCGCATCCGAAGTGGATGCTCTAACCACTAGATCACAGGAGTGGTACATGGAACAAGAGACCTAAGGGTACCTGATATCATTCACCATTCTTATATAATTTAACCATTGACCATTTGCTGGTCAGGCAAATCTAGCATTGTAAGAATATAACCTTAGTAAACTGTCTACGATACTTTATATGGTGATGATTTTACCTATCTAAAAAAAATTATCTGGTAAAAATTCATTTCTAAAGATTAAGGCATAATTAATGATCTTCAAGATATAAACCCATTTACCTTGTTTTCTAGGGAATCGGATGTAAAGATCTCTTTATTGTGCCAAGACATACTTATTATATAACATGTCAAAGACAATGATAATACAAGTTTATTTAGCAATTTAGAGCAACATTGATTTAAATTTAATCTCTTAACCAATCTGATGCAAGATAATCTTATTAATGTGTTTTGACACTTGTGATTATTTGCCGGTGTAAAGAAAAGTCTACCTACCTATATTGAATATATGTAGGTCATTTCTTCTGCATTCTGTGTCCCTGCCACCAAAGATAACTAAGTTTCGGCCAACACCACACATTGCATGTGCAGCACGAGCAGTAGGAACACCCAAGTTCATCTGCATGGGCTGAGACCATTTTCTTGTGTCTGAAATGTATACTTATACTATCATAATGGGCATGATACACACACACACACACACATACATTCCTCTTTTGGGTCAAAACTCATTTTAAAAATCTCATATTGAGTGTACATTTCTAAATCTCAGCATGCCTTATGTTATGGAAGTGACTTTTAAAGTATGCCTGGGACATCATTTTTTGCATCAATATTGCCACAATGTACATCTGCCATCTTATCATTTAAAATAATTGGTTTATCTAAAAAAAATGAACCAAAGGCCCTTAACCCCCAACAAAAATGCACTGATTTTAAAATTTGGGAAGGCAGGTTGTTTTTTTGTTTTGTTTTTTTTTCCATGGGGAAAACATGCTAGGATCAGCATTGAGAAACAGGGATGATGGGCCAATAAGAAAAACACCTATTTTTGTTTTGCCTTACATATTGTTTTATTCAGCTGCCTGTATAGGGAGAAAGACACTGCATATCCAAAGCAAAGAGCTCACAAAACAAAGGTAAATGGGAACTCTTTTAGCATGTACACACATTAAGATACTGTTTATGATATTATCAGTGAACATTTATTATTACAAGGATAAAAACTGCATTGACCTAAATAATTATTTATTAAGCATACACTGTGCATGCTATGTTGACTACAGCAGTCTATGTTTTAAAATTGCATTTAATTATTGCTCTTTCCTGTTGTGCAATTTAACACACACATACACAAAATAGAGAAACAAGACTGTACTGATGCATACTTTAACAAGAAAGAACATGTTTCATATCAGCTATCAGTGCCATCAGGACACAAAAGGTTTTCATTACATGCATCACATATAGAAACACACCTACAAAAAAAACTTGAAATGAACAGTTAACTACGAACTAGAGGCATTTCTTTCGACTGTAAAAGCTTGAACAATTTACTACAAACTAGAGGCATTTCTAAGGACCGTAAAAGCTTGAACAGTTTACTACAAACTAGAGGCATTTCTAAGGACTGTAAAAGCTTCATGTTAATGGAACATATTACACAGAAATAAGTTGAACAGCATCCAAACAAGAATATCATGTTCATTGTCAAGATTCAACTCAGTCCTTCAAAGCTACAAGACTCATTATTCATGAACAACATTTTTCTGATGGAGATACTGATTTAAAGATAGACTAATCTAACGAACACCTTATATCCCTGGATACATTCACATTATCTTAAAGCACATGAAAATACTTGTGATTGATAAAATGATAAAAGCAATTAGTTTACTTACCAAAATGCTTGGTGTCTATTTCTCAATCACAAGTAATTAACAATTACCACTCTAGTGTTTCAACATTAAAATTTTGACTGCTTTCAGAACTAGAAAGTGTTATAGTGGAACACCATGTCAAAATATTAAAAATGTACTAATTCTATTAAAAATGAACAGGACAAATCTCAAAAGTGTATGAAACAATATTCACATCAAATTGCATCAGAATGTGTCAGTTGGCTCTTACACTTTGCTGATTTCATGAAATAATATTCACATCACACTACCTCAAAATGTGATGAATGGTTCCCGATCTATAATAATTACAAGCAACATCACATGTAAAGGACTATGTATGGCATGAAGTATTCTAGTCAACACCCTATGTCGCCATGATCATATGTTCAGGAGTAGTCGTAAGTTGTTGCTATCTCTCAACTTGACGTAATTCTTTGAAATTCTTTTCCATTTCACTTGACGATTGCAAGCATATCTTCCATCACAAGACATAGTCAAATTGGCATGTGGAGTCCAATAAATGTAATTGTGTCCTTTCCAGCTTTTATTCACAAGAATCTGAATACTCCTTTTTATTCTTCAGTGTTGATTAACACTCATTTTAGAAGCTTATTTTCCCTTTCGTCTTAAACATGTGTCATTCTGTACGCCATTTAAATTTTTTATAATCAACAATTTGATCATGCAGATGCTTTACTTGAACAAATAAGTGCAGTATAAGCATCTGGGTGCTGCTGTAAAGTTAGTCTGGTTCCCTGACCAAATTTACTAATTCTAATATGAAACCTGGATCCATATCAAACATGGGTGAACCAATTATCCTGATTTTTTGGCAATGATCATTTTGTCTGTAGATTTTGTTTGTATGCCATAAGACCGCATTTTAAGCGTAGTTTTCGCAAGACTTATGGCAAAATTCACAAGAGTTGGCAGGTCTGTGTTAATATGACCATGCATTCTGATTTTGATGCATCACTATTTAGGACCAACTTGGCCATCACATTGAGTTGCATACAAAGTTGTATGCTTTCCTCAAAGCAGTTTATGAGTGATAATAAACAGGTGCTCTTGGACTTTCGACCAGAAGAGATGAAGAAAGTGTTTAATAGGTTGAATGTTTCTTGTTAAATGTGGTCCACTAGAGGAAATATTTCTTTAGCTCCCTAAAATTGAACTTTTACATGTATACTAACTGGTATCCAGAACAAAGAGGTCATTGAACCAGACAAACTCCGCTCCATCTTGCCTCTGTATTTCGTCTACCTCCTCTTCCTCCTCATTTCTCTGTTGATAAAAGATTTTTGAGTTATGGAGCAATCATGTAAATACTATGTACTTGGGACATTACAGAATACTTTGTTGAATATCTATGTACTTGGAACATTAAAGAAGACTTTATTGTATACATACATTCCAACCTCTGGCGAGGAAATAGCATAATCCAAGAGGACAAAAGGAGTAATCTGAGCAGAAAGCGTAATCCACATATAACATAATAACATTCAATGTGCATAGGTACAAAACATATATTTTGCATCAGGAAGCATCCGTTTGAACAAAGGACCAAAGTTGTATTCTACCACTAGTTTTAGTCAGTGTGTTCTATTAAGAGCTAGGTAGATAACTCCCCTGCATTTATAAAATTTGTTTCCACAATTTAGTTCTGCTGTAAAAAAGAAGTTACCTTAGTATTGGAGTTAGAAAAACGATCTAATTCAAGGCGTCTGTTTTATACTATGACCAATAATAAAATCCTTTCCACACAGCCTGCAATAGGTGTGAAGCTACCCTAGAATGGCACTGTATTGTGTTATTCATGTATTCATCTTCGAGTTCTTTTTCCGTTTTTTTTTTTTAAAAATCCATTTGTGAAATCATTTGTTTAACATTTTTGCTGTAACATATGCATCGACTAGAAAAAAACAGAAAACTTTTACCACCTAATACCTACAGAATGGTTCTGTATCTCACATTATTTTTAACAAAGAATATGTGAGCAAAGATTAAAAATTAGGAAACCAGCTGTTGTGTCCTAAGTAAGACAGCTGCTATAAATAGAACATAACACATAGTAAGGTTACCACTAGTCGACAGAAAAAGTGTACTTTTATGCCATAGGTACAGAGGCCATCTTTTCCAGAATAAGTTCTGTGTAATTAGTGGAATGTTAATAAAAATGAGAAAACAAATAATTATTTTGGGAGAGGGATATACCAAAAAAGTGTAATCCAAATACATTATTTACATGTAAGGTGTAATTTAGTGAAAAAAGCGTAATGATTATGACAAAAGCGGAATGGTTGGCATGTATGTGTATATGACCATCATTATTTCTAAGAAACTGCTAACAATGCATGTATAATATGAATAAATTTAATGCAAGTGTTCACACAAATATTCCAAGCTGGGCAAATTTCATTCCTTTTTTGAGAACCCAAGGCTTCCACTCACATAAATTTGAAAATCTGCTTTAAAACCATGATGCAACACTTCCCTCCCTTTAACCATCTCAAAATGCAGAAAACCTACTTCATAACTGCATTTCCAAATTAGCTTCAAATGAACAGAAATGAAAGGAAGCTACCAATGAAATAAACACAAAATTTGAATATATATTATTGGGGAAAATAAATGAAAAACCATGAAATGATAACTGAAATGTAAATGTTAATGAAATGCAAACAGAATGCAAATATAATGAATTTCTAATGCAAATTAAGCTTAAATGAAAACTGCAAAGTACAGATTTTGGTACAATTATCAATTTCAGGGTCTGAAAAGATTTTTCAGTCACCGGCATATATTGCTGGGCAGGATGTAAATTTTAATTTTCTGTTTAACAAGAGTGATCTCATTCTGAATTCATTCATTTCCAAAATAAGAGTTCATATAAAAAGAATATATTTCATTCCAATACAAACAGAATTTCATTAAAATGCGAGTTCATTATTTCCAAGAAAAGATGCATAGGAAAGAACATTTATTTTCATTATAAACAGAATTTTGTTAAATGAGGGTTGTCATATATACTTGTAAAACATTTCAGTGAGGATGTTATTCCTTGATTGCTTTTGATAAGTATTCATATCATGCAATAAACATAGTTTTAGATTCAACTGGAAAAAAAAAAGTAAAAAAAACC